CACTTGATCCAACCCCTCGTTGATGTGAGCAAACCTCTTTGAAGTTGGTATATCATCACAATCATATTTGTGAGGTAGGTAAGACAAAGAAAAAATATATATATACAGCTACCTGTCCGTAATCTACAGTACAATGAAAGAGAAAATAATTAGGCAAATCTACAATGAAAAAGAAAATTGTTTGGCAATCCTATTTTTTCTCCTGTAGTCTAGACTCCAACACTCCTGATTTCTACTCCATACATTGTTGGTGCTGAAGTGATAAGTTAATTGATACATCCAATGTTATACCGATCTATATTTATTAGTCCATTAATTCGATTCGGGGGATAACTCTCTCTACTAATCCATTTTCAACTCTAAATTAATTAGAGCCTAAGCTCAAGCTATTAGCTACAATTGTTGTAAAAAGAAAATCATGATTTCCGCCTTCAAAATATGAAGTTAGTTGTAATTAAGGGTATATACGAATGACTTGAAGTATGAAAATCATGATTTTCCCGAGTCAAGTTAGATTTCAAATTCTTGAAATAGCTGGATTCAATAATAGAAGAAAACATATTTCCGTTCTCAAAGTATGGAATAGTTAGAAGAAACCAACAATGTTTTGGTTTATTGATTTTAAAAATGACTCCTTAAGGTCCTAAAAACAAACATTTTCGAATCCCTCATCCTTGAAAAGTGATTAACAAGAAGAGTGGTGATGGAGCTGTTAACACCAAATAATTAATTTTAATAACTCGAAAAGGGCGGATCACCTAAATGATATATAATAGATTATTAGTGTTAATTAAGTAGCAGAACAAGAGCTAATCCAAGAAATAAGTGTAATCCAAGGAATAAGTTGATTAAGCGTATGGGAAGCTTTGTACGACACTCTCTCATCCTCTAACTTCCCCAATGGTCTCAGATGATTTGCCATCTTAAACAAAGCACACCACAGTCCCTTGTGCTCTTTTATTATTATTATTATTATTATTATTTTTTTTTTGGATCGATCACTTTCCCTCCTTTTGATTTGATTTTGGTATTTATTAGCACTTTGGGCCAGATTACTATTCTAAAGGTGATAAATTTTTTTTATTTTAATTGTACAATAAAAGACAATCATCTCTTATTTTTTGTTTTACTTTACTTGCATATCATACGATTCGAACTCAAAATTTCTTACTTTTAGCAGAAGAAGATAATTATTGAGTTATTTTGGTCGTTAGCAAATGTGATAAATTTTAATGTTAATGTTTTAAAATAATTTAGTGATAATCTTATTTTTACGAAAATAAGATTTTGAACTTAAATCATATGATATGTAGATGGAGTTAATTAAAAGATTAAAAGAAATATTTTTTATTATAGGGTAATGATAAGTAGGATAAAAATTTGGGACAAAAATTTAGAATCAATGATGTAATATAAATCATATTATTAAATTAGTTGATGTATACAATATTATTAATTTCAAAAAAATAAAAAGAATTAATCATTAAATAATATATAATTTATTTTTTAATATTTTAAATAATATGAATTATGCCATATCATTAATTTTAAATTTTAATTTTAAATTTTAATCACATTTATCATTATTCTTTATTATATAATTCAAGATTAAAAAAGAAAAATCTGACTAGATTACCTGATTGGATCAGGGTGCATGTTTTCCAAATTTCATAATTACAACTAATTCTTTCTATCAGTGAGACATGAAAATTTTTGATTTTTTTAAGGAAGGAAACTTAAACTTAACATTTAAAATGAGGATATATATACTTTTTAAAAGTTTATAATTGATTGACATTCTAAAACAAGTGCGGCTTGTTAATTTTGATAATAATGTGATTAGTGTGAGATTTCATCATTACTTCCATTCCTTGATTTGTGAGTTAGTGGTTTCAACTTTCATGCGTTTGATTTTTTTTTTTTTTTTGGAACAGGACTTGAAATCATATGTTGATTTATTAAGATTAAATAAATGGTGAATGAATCTTTCCAAGATACATTCCAGACCTGGGAGAATGAAATGTTGGAGGTATTGACGAGGTGTTTTAGCTTCAGGTTAAAAAATTAAAAGATCAATGAGAGGGACAGGTACTGATGTTTTTCATGACTTTTTTTTCTTTTTTTTTTTTTTTTGGAAAATAGGTCATGGAAATTTTTTTTTTTTCATGACTTCGTAGTTGAAGAGTAGTGCAAAACTGGGGTCTAGGGCCCAATTCAATACTGCAGTTTTCCTTCTTTAAAATAATTGGTCCGCAAAAGAATCTAAATGTACGGCATGGTTATAGCTTATATATATTTATGTAAAATCCTACATTAAAAATTTCAATTTATTTTATATTTTTAATTATATTTTTAAATTTTTATTGAAATAAATAAAATTTTAAATTTAATAATTTAGATATTTTTTTTTTATAGATTTAGTACCTATTTATATTTTATTTGTATAAATAAAGTTAACACTTGTTTCATTCCTCCTTGTGACTACAATGGTGGCTACATTTTTTCAAAGTAAGAAGCAAGTGGAATGGATTTTGATATGCAAGTCGAGTTTGACTCGACTTTCCTCAAACAGATGTTAATCTAACAATGTATTTTTTCTTGTAAAAAAAAAGTTAATACTTGTTAAGTAATCAATGACATATTAATTTTTTTCATACAATTGAAACACAAAAAATTTTTAAATCTATTGTAAAAAAATTAAATTGTTTAGATAATCAAATTTAAAGATTTGTTTACTTAACTAAAAATTCAAAAGTTTAATAAAAAATTTAGATAAATTCAACAGTTTAATATAAGATTTTACCTATATTCATTAGTCACATAATTTTTTTTTAATAAGAAGAGTGAAAAATTAATACATTATGATATTTAAAATATTAAGTTTTTTTTATAAAATTATTTAAATATTCTTAATAAATATTTTTATATGTTGATTCATTAAAAATATTTAAATAATTTTATTAAATATCCTAACATTTTAATTATAAAGACATCTTAATTTCTCACAATCTTCTTATTAATTTACAATTTTTTAAATAATTAATTATAACGTTTTAAAATATTTATTTATAAATTAATTTTAATATATTAAATAATAAATATTAAATATTCTATCAAATATCAATTAATCTTAATAATACTTAAATTAAAATAAAAATTAAACAATTTGCCTGTCCTCTTTCAGATTAGTATGTGGCCACAAGGAGAGCCCAAATTTACTGACCTAAAGCTATTTTTGGATCAATAATTCAAGACACAAAAGGTTGACAAGACATTGTGAGTATACCCTTACCACTTATTAATGTGTACGAGAATTTAAGGTTAGAGCCGCCGCCTAAAATATAAACGCAACTAGTTCAGTTTGTTACAGTGATGCGTAACATCTTCATCTTGGTAGCATTTCCGAAAAATAGGTTCAACTGTTCAACCATATGCTCACTATCAATAGGCAGGCAGGAGGCAACAGCACTAAAAACACTGCAAACACAGGACAGAGTTATTATGGACTACCTAAAAATTTAATTTAGAATTAAGAACAAAAATTCAAATTTTTACCATATTAAGCAGCCAATTTTTCGATAATCTATATATATATTTATAAAGAAGACAGAAAAGAAAACACAAAAAGAGTACTTTTGATTTCAGTTGACTAAAGCTTAGTAACAAGTTGGGCTGCAAACTCAGAAGGTTGAAAGCTTTACGAAACTATCTGAGAAACACAATTCTATTCTTCTATAATAATATAACAAAAATATTAAAGTACTGTATATACAATGCAAAACTGAACCACAAAGAACAGACAAATAGCCGACCTCTCAAGTCCAACACATTGATGATGGACAGGACATTTTCCAGCTTTTAAGTGGTTAGGAATCAATCTTCTCAGCGAGAACATGGGTGAATGGGGCCATGTTCATTAATAAATTAACAAATTAGTATTTGACAACACTATGGCGTAACCAAAGTTCATACATAACCATATGGAATGCATCGTACTCTACGGGGGGTGAATTCCATTGGAAGTGCTTCTGGACCTGAAAAAAAATATCACAAGATATTTTCATCAGCCAACAGTCATGTTCAACTTCATTGGATCATCGTGCTTTAAAAATAAAACTTAAGAGAAAAATGAAGAAACAATTGTAGGCTCATAGCAAGAACTAATGTTCCTTGAGAAAACTAAAAAACCAAACTTGCAGGAATTTGTCACCTTTCTTCTTTTCTTCTTTTGGTTATGTAAAAATAAAGTAAAAGAAAAAGTGGGAATTTACACAAGAATGCAATGAATTACATAAATGACAAAAACAATAACCTAATTATACTTCTGGTCTTCCAAATTAAACGTTTCTATGGCATGGGAAGGCTTGTTACCTTCACTACATTCCTGTGCAGTGAAGCAAACTCCTCATCTGTTATGTTTTTGAGGATTTGTTTAAGCTGGTACACATCACTCTCCTTAAGTACGACAGCAAATTTTTGCCAATCAAGAATGTCATTGAAGGGCAGGTCATAGTAGTTGGACAATATTACTGCAAGTAAACAAGCAAAATAAGTTGGGTACATGAGAAGTTGAAACAGGGAAAAATAAAATCTCCTGACAAAGCCCCAAATTTCAGTGATGCAATCTTACTTGAAAATGCAAGCCAACAAAAAAAATCCCATACTCCTAATGTCCCAATTTCTTTAGTTTTCTTCCTTTAAACACATCATGAAGGTCAAGGCTCCTCAGGTTCAAAACAGAATAAAGGTATGGTGGGGTGGCAAATCAAGTCTTACATCCAGAAATAGAGGGATGAATCCAGCTCATAGGAAAAACTACAAGAGTAGAGCCCATGGGCAACCAAAGAGGTAGCCTTCAGAGATACAAAAACTCTCTCGAAGCAAGCATCTCAAGGTTTTGCCAAGCAGGCTTAATCATAAGATCAAGGTATGTCACTGTAATTCATAGGACAGGGGCCACATTGTCACCCTTCCATGGACCAGAGTAGCATAAATCTAGTCACCTCCTCTACCTCTTGCCTAGGAGTCATAGAAAAACATATTTTGCTTGTATTTTGGTTTTAAGTTTGTATAGCCAAACTAGTTGTATGGCTCGTCTCTACAGGTAGCATTAAACAAGCAATAAGAACAAAATCAAATATAAACCTTCAACAGCCAAAAAGGGTTGAATGCTTACCAGGAACACATCCATAATGAATTGAATCAGTTATGCGAGCACTATTGACCTGAGAGCCACCTGGGCAAATGCAAAATTTAGTTCTGTAAAATCGCTTCTGGTACACAAGAGGTTCAATGGCCCTACTTATTCTGTTGTTTGAGATATCAAGTTCAGTATCATTTTCCCAGACACGTGCCAATATAACTCTAATCTTTGAGTTACGATGACCAGCCCAAAAGCCAAGAGTTGTCCTGCAAAGCATTTTTATGGTTAATATAAAGCAATTAGCCTTTCCTGTTTGGTTCCATCTTCAAAAAATTACCATTCACCTCTCTATGGGGGGCACAAATTAATCTAAATCAATCGGTAGTAGGCTCAATTAGACAGCTAATGATGAACTAATTCAAACCAGTTTTATGCATCAAAGACAGAAAAAGGAATACAGCAGAATATAGGATTGAGGCACTTTATCACTGGAGTTTGGAAAAGAACTAAGAAGATATGGAACACAATATCTGAGATAAGTAAAAAAGGCAATAGGGTTGTTAAGATTTAACAAAACATAAGCAAGGAAAAGTCTGAATCACTTCAACCAGACACCAGAAAACATACGAGATTTCCCTGTTAAATGGCACTATCAAGAAGCAGCATGCCCAGACCCCCACCTAGTGGGTTTTCCTTCAGTTTTTTCCATCTAACAGGCTAACACACATCACTTGGATCGATGAATGATGAATGATGGAAAAGCAAGCATTCAACTACTGAAATTCACATGGATAAGTAAAGGAATAAGTTATTGAGCACATGAGAAATCCACATATCAGCCTGTTACCTATTTTCTATATTGTTTCCTCCAGCTGGAAGAGCAAATGGCTGCAGCACTTGGGGAAGAGCAACATCTTTGTGTGGAATGAATCCAACATCATAGCTAGGAGAGCAGACAACTCGAATGGCATTCTTTACAAGAAATGGGACTCCTTCAGTTGCCCTCACACCAACATCATGACAGGTGACAAAGAAGTGATCTGCTCCAAGGGTTCTATTCCAGTAAGGATATTTAGCTATTAAGCTGTGTACATAATTCTGGACAATTATGGTCATATTCTCATATGATGTTCCCTGCACACAGTCACCAAAGCATTATTCACCAGGGTGCAAAGCCTGATACCTAAATAGACATCTCCTTTCAAGAAGAGCTAAGTGCCAAGACTTAAGGGTGTAAATCAGTAAAATACCATTGACAACTACCCGAGATTGTATGCTGATATATGTCAAATCCAAATTAATGTCCATAAGCATTAAACAATATGACTGAAGTCATGGAATTTAGCAAAACAAGTTCTGAGCTCAAGGAGATGCTAGAATTGCAAGGTGCCTAGAGAACCCTTGCCCCATTAATTGCATCTACAACCAAACACTATACCAGCTCTACTGTCTGAAAAAGGTTTAGAACTAAATTCAATCGCTGGATTCAGCAAACTCACATCAGAAATGCAGTTCATCCCGCCAAATTAACTACAAACAGGAATATAGTACAAAAGCAGAACGCACAAGCGGGCAGAGCCAACCATGCTAAAGCAAGTGCATAACAGGTAATGAAATCATCCCGTAGATTGAGAAAAATGTAGATCCATTTCATGGCATAAAAAATGATCCAAACAGTCCACAAATTGAAAGATCAAGAACCGAGTCTTACCTTGCCTCGCATCTTGTGGCAGGAAATAGGGATGAAGAAGAGGTGAGCCTGATCCGGATCCTCCGTACGAAACTTACTCTCCCTTATGTTCTGGAAAAAGTAACCCTCGCTGGCGTATTTCCCGGTGAGCTTCCGCGGCGTCTGGTAAAAGGTGTTGGGATCGCCATCGGGGTAAATATAAACCTTAAATTTCCTCTCCATCTCCGCGTAATTCAGCCGGAACACCTCCGGTGAATGGTATATATCCGTAAACAAGTCATCAGCAACCTGAGCCACTGGTTCGCGTACTTCTGCTTTGTTGACAATTTGTTTCTCCACAATAGTAACCGGAGTAGCCGGAGTGGATATCTGGACAGGGGGACGGAACGATTTAAAGGAGAAGAAAGTGAGAGAGATTAGGGTTAAGATGGCGAGAACGAGGAGCAATCCTTTGAGGGAAAACAATGGCAACTGCTGCATCTGTAGCTTGCCGACGGTCATCGCCGGAAAACTGTGGTATTTACCGGATATAGTGCTTCCCGGCGAGGCGCCGAGTAAGAGTTGAGTGAGGGAGGAAGAAGGAGATGAGGTGCAGGCAGTTCCTTCGCTGGCGGTAAGAATGAAATCATCTTTTTCCATTGGAGTTTTCTATAGTTACGTGTCTTTATGACTATTTTAATTTTATATATATATTATAAACCCGAATGAGATAGTTGGATCGAATTTAAAGTTGGGCTGAGTTTGGATAGAATAAAGGGTGGGCTTTAATCAGATTGGGTTGGTTAATTTCAGTTGGTTTTTGAATTTGGGTGGCTTTGGCCCAAAAAGAATTTGGGTTCTAAACTAACGTTGTGATTTTCACTTTCAGCAGTCAGAGCGAAATATTCTGCCATACAACCATGTCTACGAAATTGTTAATAACTAGCAGTTCCCTGATTTGAATACAAGGAATTTAATTTTTTTAAATAAAATTTTAAATTTAAATCTTATAAATAAAAAAATAAATGATATAAGAGTTTTTTTTTTTATAAAATCTAATATAATTTAATTTTAAATTAATCAAAATTTAATATAATTTCTAAATATTAAGAGTGGTAAAACAAAAAAATAAAACTGCTAATATGGTACAAAGAGTTCATTACGTGCTCATTATTATTTTTTATTTTTTGATTTTTGATTATATAATGAAAAGTAATTATCTCTCATTTCTTATCATATTCCATCTGCATACTAACGATCTAAATAATTTAATGATCATCTCATTCCGTTAGAAATAAGAAATCATCATTATTTGGCCAAAAATAAATGTGCTTATAATTATTAGTGTGTATAACTAATGTACTTTTCTTTTATTTTATAATTTGATATAATTTAAATAATAAAATAATATTTATTAATATAAATTAACAAAATGCTAATTATCAATCTTTTTTTCTAGTATCCTCTAAATAGAAAATGTGGTTTCACCGTCTAAACAAATTTTTTACTAAATATATTTAAAATGTTAATTCTGTTTATATATAAAAAAAGATTGTTGAAAAATATTCCTTCTTGATAATTTAAATATTAAGAATGATAATTAAAAAATTTAAATATTTCCAAATGAATCACCTTACAAAGAAACTCATTAAAAGATTTGAGTTATGTTACATTGGTATAATACCAATTCCTAGCCACTCATTTAAAATTTTAGTAATTAATATAATATATGAATTTGCACAATAATCCTTAATTTTTAAATTATGTAATTGAAAATTAATGTGAAAATTCTTTAATTCTTATTAAAAATTTTGAAAATTTTCATAACAAATCTTAATATTAAAGTTTTGATTTTCACTTTTTGTTATTAAAAAAATAAAATTTTTTAATCTATGTCCTTAAATGTATAATTAATACATATTTTAATAATTAATTTATATTAAAAAATAAAAATTAAACTTTAATTTACCAATCAAGTAATTAAAATCATATAATTAACATTACTACTAAAATTAATATTAATTTTTATATTTTTAAATAAATTAATAATTAAAAAATATATTAATTACATTCTTGAATTAACATGCACATTGAGAATCACCTTTAAAAAAATACGAAGATGAGGCACTTTTGTTAAAAAGAAAAGGGTTATGGCAAAAAAGAAGGAGACTGAAAAAAAAAAAAAAGGGTAGAAAGGTTTTAAACGGTAGAGTACTACAACCAACGGTCACCAAGGGATTTAAATTCAAATCATCTAAAGACCAAAGAGCGGCACAAATCAATCAACCCAATTTCTTCCTCAAGCCGCTTTCTTGTTCCAGAAAGGTTAAAGAATCTCACTAATTTTCCTGTAGCCAAGAACCCACAATCCTGAATTTCCATGGAAAGCATTCAGTTCAACAATTTTAAGCAAGACCCAGAAACCCCATTCCCCGATTCCTTGGTTTCTGGAGTCGTTACGAATCAATATAATGCAGATTCCACCACGGGCAAAGATGAAGATTCTGCGCTTGATTCCATGCTTTGTGACTCTAATTCAAGGCTCATACCAGCTGGCTTTACCAGATCTAATTGCCCAGGTTAGTTCTCATTTTCAATTCGTGTTTTTATCATATTTCTTACTTTTTTGGTTAGTGAGAAAATTAAAAGATGCTTCCTTTAATACCAAGATGCTTTCTTTAATACTACCATGTGTTTCATAGCTCAGCAGTCAGGACCAGTGCGTTTCCATCGCTTTCATTCATTTTCAAGAAAACATAAAAGAAAACTTTTTTTTTTTAAATCTCAGCTTAGTCATAATGTGGAAACTTAGGTTTAAGCTAGCACAAATTTAGGCTTACACCATCTGTTTATCAATTCTTTGAACTCATGGAACCTGCAGCTGTAATATGTGATTTATGGGAGTGATGCCTAACCCAACATCCCCCGTTGGGGACAGTGTGATTGTGAGGGTATATAAGTGTCATGACCTTCGTAGTTGTTAGGCCAGTGGGGCTTCAGCTCAGGTCCTTTCTGGAAGAGTCTAAAACCTTAGACTTGATTATAAGTTTATATTTTATATCCAGTATGTAAATTAATGCTCAATCTTTTGTTTTTCTAACCCAGATGAAATTGTTGCCTTTGTAAATGCTGGAGGTGTGACTTCAAGTGAAGCAGATTCTATTATGAAATTCATAGATGATACATATTTTGAAGGAGGTTCTGTTATAAGTACTGATGAGCAAATAACAGAAGCAGGAGATTATCCATTCATCTATAAGTCAGCTAGATTTGGGAACTTCTGTTATCGATTTGACAGTCTTCCTCTGGGGAACTATTTTGTTGATCTTCATTTTGCGGAGATCATAAATACTAATGGTCCTAAAGGGGTGAGGGTGTTTAATGTATACATGCAGGAAGAGAAGGTACGTCGATTAAGTGTGAAGCATTTTACTGTAGTTACAAAAATATGCAATTTCTCTTTTCTTCCCTTGCTGAGCACACTATACATTAGTACTAAAACTTGGCATTGAATATGCAGGTTCTATCAGATTTTGATATCTTCTCTGTTGTTGGAGCCAATAAGCCACTGCAGGTGGTTGACTCGAGGGTCTCGGTGAAGGAGGATGGGATAATTGTGATAAGATTTGAAGGAGTTAGTGGAAGCCCAATGGTTTGTGGGATTTGTATTAGGAGAGCCCCAAACGTGTTAGGTAATGTAATTGTAAATCTGTTGTTCGATTCATCATTGCATAAGCATGACTTGGATGAATGCTAATTCAACTTCTTTCCTAATCTGAGAACAGCTCCTCGGGCATCACATGAATATCTTAAATGCAAACAGTGTGCTGCTGAGCTAGAAATTTCTTCAGCTGAGGTCAGATGTGTCTAATATGAAGAGTTACATCTTAGACGGTTTTAACAGTTTGCTTATGTAGCCTTATGTTTTGGGGTAGCAGAAGAAACTTATGCGAGCAAAGGCTTCATGTCAATATGAGAGAAGGATAAAAGAGCTCAACACTCAGTGTCTGCTTAAGACAGATGAGTGCCATGAAGCCTGGATGTCTTTAACTGCAGCAAATGAGCAGCTAGAGAAGATTAGGATGGACTTGGACAACAAGATTTTCCAAGCACGCTCTCTAGGTAACTTTTGGCCCAGAATGTATAAGATCTTTTTGATTCATTGTAAGAATAATTATTCTGTTTGTGTGAAGACATTTTTTTTAATTGAATCTGTTTGAAGCTGTCAATAAATCATGCTTTCTTCTCTTTTTTGTTTCGTATTTTCAATAGTTTAGACTTTGGAGATGAGAAGCATCCTTTTTTAGATAGAAGGTTAGCATGCTAATTACATTATGCTTTACTTCAGCCATCTCAGTAAATTATTGTGTCCGTCATAAGTTTATAGATTTATGGTGAGTTCTACACATGCTGGCAAGAAACTTGTTCATTTATCAACTAAAATGAAAAATTGCTATGTTTGAAGGTGTTTTACTTTTTTCGTCATGTAAGGTAAGGTTGCCTCTTAAGTTCAATTGAGGATAGCTTTAGTTGTAGTTCTCTTTTGAACTGGAAACTGGCTCTTGTTTCAGATGAAACTGTAGGGAAACAAGCTGAAAATCTGAGGAATATTACTAGCAGTTATGACCATGACAAGCAGCACTGGGCAATGGCACTAGACGATTTGCAACAGAAAATAAAGGTAAGTGATATTATATTCACTTTAATTTCATGGTTAGTTTCTTACCAATTTGTTTCATGAGTTGATTTGCTTGCAGAGAATGAAAACTGAGCATTCTCAGCTCTCTCGTGAAGCACATGCCTGTGTTGATTCAATACCTGAGTTAAATAACATGGTCACTGGAGTTCAGGCATTGGGTAAGTTCTACTTTCTAGATACACTTGGGTTACTAAGTTGCCTTTTGCAGTATGCATCTGCATGGCCTCACAGAATCATTCTGCAGTTGAGCAGTGTGAGGATCTGAAACTGAAGTACAGTGAAGAGCAAGCAAAGCGAAAGGAACTCTATAATCAGATTCAGGAAAACAAAGGCAAGCATTTTTTTTCAACTTCTGAGCAACTAGTGATCCATTTTCTGTATTAATGCCCAGCATTGGGACTGAAAAGCATCACTACAATGTATCCATTAAAAATCAGGTAATATCAGAGTCTTCTGTCGGTGCCGACCCCTGAAGAAGGAGGAGATATCAGCTGGGGGTGGAACAGTTGTTGACTTTGAAGCAGCAAAAGATGGGGACCTTGGGATTCTGACTGGTGGCTCCATGAAAAAGAATTTCAAATTTGACCGAGTTTACTCACCAAAAAATAATCAAGGTACCAAATGTCAAAGTGATTTTCCCATCAGATAGTCAAGCATTTTCTTTTCAACTCCAGTAATATTCATATTAATCCATATTTCTTTTATGCATTAACAGCTGATGTTTTTGCGGATGCTTCTCCGTTGGTGACTTCAGTGTTAGATGGATACAATGTTTGCATTTTTGCTTATGGTCAGACAGGAACAGGAAAGACATTTACAATGGAGGGTACTGAAGAAAACAGGGGAGTCAACTATAGGACTCTTGAGCTATTGTTTCAAATTGCCAAGGAAAGGAGTGAAACTTTTACATACAGCATCTCCGTTAGTGTGCTGGAAGTCTACAATGAACAAATCAGAGACTTGTTAGCTACGTCACCAGCATCAAAGAGGCAAGACCGCTTCATCTTTTATTGCATTCATATTAATGCAACTGCTTAACCATGTTTAATACTCCTTTAAGTATTTGATATTTTATATTAAGCGTGGGCTGAAGATGGCTTTGCTGATGTGAAATTGCAAAAACTTAACTAAATGTCTTTATTGGGTCGCTAGGTTGGAGATAAAGCAATCTGCTGAAGGATTCCATCATGTTCCTGGGCTTGTAGAAGCCAGAGTTGATAATGTCAAGGAAGTTTGGAGTGTATTGCAGGCTGGAAGCAATGCAAGAGCTGTTGGATCAAATAATGTGAATGAGCATAGTAGCAGATCTCACTGGTACAAAACCCTATTTTTGTCCTCCAATTTGTATAGCTGAATGAAGCTGTTTTAACTTCAGCTTTTGTTCGGTACTGCTGACAAAAGAGACGTCTTTTCCTATGTTTTTCTGCAGCATGCTTTGTATTATGGTACGAGCAAAGAACCTGATGAATGGTGAGTGCACCAAGAGCAAGCTTTGGCTTGTGGATTTGGCTGGCAGTGAGAGGCTTGCAAAAACAGATGCACAAGGGGAGCGTCTCAAGGAAGCTCAAAATATCAATAAATCCCTTTCAGCTTTGGGAGATGTCATATATGCATTAGCAACAAAAAGTAGCCACATTCCGTACAGGTACGCAGTATACCTTGCTCATAATATCTCTGCTGAGTGCAGACGTTGTGTTCCCATTGTTTAACATCTTTCATTTGACGTCAGGAACTCAAAGTTGACACATCTACTTCAAGATTCATTAGGTAATTTAGGTCATCTTGATCATGTTCTATGAGGAATTAAATTCATCTTTGTTGATTAGTGATATTGGTCTGAGTTTAGAACGCTTCAAATCATTATTGATAATGTGCTGAAGGTGCTAATATCAAATGTTATCATGTCTTGCAGGGGGTGACTCTAAGACCCTGATGTTTGTACAGATCAGCCCTTCAGAACAGGATTTGAGTGAAACCTTGAGTTCATTAAATTTTGCAACCCGTGTGCGTGGAGTTGAATTGGGTCCTGCTAAGCGGCAAGTAGATACAAATGAGCTCCAAAAGATGAAAATGACGGTATGTCTAGGGATTGAGTGCTAAATGGTGTGCTGTTATAATTTTCTTCCATCAAATTTATTAAGTATTTCATTACTAATACTTCTGAATTTTTACAAAGCTGGAGAAAGCAAGGCAGGAAGCAAGATCAAAAGATGAATCTCTAAGGAAACTGGAAGAGTGCTTACAGAACCAAGAGAGTAAAGCCAAAAATAGAGACCTGATTTACAAAACCCAACAGGAGAAGATAAAAGAACTTGAAGGCCAACTAGAGCTGAAAACTTCTATGTGCAGCCAGTCAGAGAAGCAAGTGTCACAACTTTCAGATAGATTGAAAGGGAGGGAAGAGATATGCAATGATCTTAAACAAAAGGTTTCATTCCACTTAAACATAATTTCTATATTGATTTGATCGCCATTCCTGGCTAACTTTGATATGACATCTGCTGAAGGTCCAAGAACTAGAGAACAAGCTTAAAGAAAGACAGCAGTTAGAATCTGCAACTTACCAACAGAAGGTTACCCTGTCAAAAATTATATTTATGAACTTTTTACATTTCTTCTTTCCTTAGAAAGAAAGGCGTTTGTTAAGGAAAACTGAATGGTTTAGCTACTGTTTGATTTCAAGCAGATTAAGGATCTTGAGTGCAAGCTGAAAGAGCAAATGCAAGATTCTGATTCCCAGTCAATCACCCTTCAACACAAGGTTGCAAAGAGCTAGTTAGCAATGCTAGTTTGTCTATCAATGAGCAAATCAAAAGTTGAACATAACTATATTCTTTCTTATTTTCCATTTTCAGATTAAGGAGCTCCAGGGCAGGCTGAAAGAGCAGGAACAAAAACCAGAATCTATTTTGCTTTGTCAAAAGGTTGTTTTACATATCCCCATCAATTATAGGTCTCCAAAACCTAGTATATTCCTATAATTTTCTTGCAACAATGATTCATAACTTCACATTGATTCACATTTACTAGCTATAATAGAAGTATAGAACCTAAGAATATCTTATTTTCAAGTTACAACTTACAACCATGAAAGCTTTCTAAAATTAGTTTGATATTTGTTTCCTCATGTCTAAGAATCTTAATGTAGGCTTGAGTTTATATAATTTTGAACAATTCTCTTTGTTAGAAAAGTATTCTGCTAAGATTCTTTCCTTGTTTCCTCATGTCTAAGAATCTTAAAGCAGATTTGAGTTTACATAATTTTGAACAAATATTGTTGGCTGCATAAGATTTGAACATGCAGCTTGATATTCGTTCTTGGACTTTCAAAAAGTTTTAAGTTCACATCCTATTGTTTTCATTCACAAAATGGAGTTACAGAGAGAATTAATTTCAGCAACCATATTTCTGGCAGATAAAGGAGCTGGAAGATAGGTTAAGGGAGCAAGAACAACAGCTGCAGTGTACACTGGCCTGTGATTTTACTAACCTAGGAGCCACTCCCAGTGAAGGAAAATCAAGTGTAAGAGATGCAGAGTTCTTGAGTGAGATTGAACCTAACATCCTAAAGAGTTCAAATTCAGTTAACCGTCCCCTTAGTTATGGGTCTAAGCAGCCAAGAGTTAGTGATACTCTCCTGGCGCAAAGGAAGAAAAGGTACTCTAGAAGTGATGAAACAGAGAACAATATGATGGTACCAACTTCTGTAAAGGGTAGGGCATCTGATCCACCTAAAGTTGCAAGGATCATGAGAACTACAAGGCCAGCTAGTGCTGCTGCTCAAGGACCCTTGACTCACAAAAGGGTTTACAGAGATCAGGTCCAAGGAGTTAAGGAGAGGGCGACTAAGAAAAAGATTTGGTCATGATAGTATTGATTGTTTCAGCAAAACTAACTACAGCTCTTGCTAATCTCTTAATTGGTATGTACATTTTTAGACCAACCTGCACACATTTTACTTGGTATGTTAGATGTGTATTCTACATTCTATGTGATATACAATAGTGTGTACGAGTGTGAACTTGAAATACATTCATTAATCCATAATAAGTAATGAAATTGCTTTATTGTTATACACTCCTTCCATTAATACTATTCTTTTTCAATTCATTCCGTCATCACTAATGTGGTATAATATGAAGTTGCAGTAGGCTAGTCTGCTTTGCTGAATCATGAACGTATATAAAAATGATATAAAAAATAAATAAAAATTGATAAAAATTATCAAATATGCAGAAGCTTAACCACAAAAATTCTACTCTAATTGTTATAGCTTATAGTTTAACACATTTCAAAAAATTGCGTTGTGTCCCCTTTCAGCTTTTGCAAAGAATGTAAATATATTTTTTTAGAAATTGGATGAAATTGTTATAATAATGAAGTGCAGTCTCTGATGTACAAATTTTATTTCTTAACTACTGATGAAGGGGACATGCACCGTAATTTTGGTACTCAAGAGAGAAAATGATGGAGTGAATGGAAATCTAAATTTGATGTGAGCGAGTCCCTACTAGGAAATTGTAGGACACTTTAACATGGGGAAAAGTCTAAAAAACGAAATGCTGAAGGTAGCTTGGGGGTATATGGCCGTATAGGTTTGGAACCTCAGGAGCAGAAAAGGGCAAAAATGGTGATAAGAGGAGCAAACATTTTTTTCGTTCCCCCACATGCACTGGGGGTTTGTCTCTCCATTTCTTGTTGCTTCTACAAGTAACCTTCGTTCTCAATAATAATAAAAAAAAAAAAAAAAATACAAATAAACTTGTCCAGACATAGAGGACCATTGTCATGTGATGACTGACGGATTCTGATTCTTGTACAATATCCCCACTTATATATAGAAGATCTTTTGGAAATAAGTAGATAAATTGGTAGGTATATGTATATCCTACTACCAATGGAAAAAAATGTGTAAATGATAATATTAATTATATATAATTTTAAGAATATTAATTTTAATAATTTTTAAATAAAAATATCAATTTATAATTTTATCTATTTAAAAATGTTAATTTTTAATTTTATTTATTTAATAATTAATTGGATAGTAATGTTAATGTAAGAAATGGACATTTTAAAACATATTACTATTCTTATATTAAAAAGTTAAAATTTACATTCTTAATAAAAAAATACAAAATTAATATCTTTAATTATTTACACATTTTCTCTGTTACAAATAACAAAGATTTCATGTTACTTCAAAAAAATTAAATTTTTTAAGAGTTAGAATATGTAAAATGAGGAACATTCTAACTAATTAAATAAATAAAAATATAAAAACTACACGATTGTTAAGAATTGACTTATCTATTGCTTCATGTGAATTATTGGTTGTGTTTAACCATGTATGAAATTATACAAAAACATGTATAACAATGATTTGTTGGTATGAATAAAAGGAATTTAATTATTTTAAATTTAAATATTATGAATAAAGAAATTTTGGGTTAAGAATTTTTTCTTTTTTTGGCGCGATTTTCTTTTTAATTTATTTGAATTTTACGTGACTTTTCAATTTTCAAGAATTTGTTGAAAAACACACACACACACACACATAAAATCGAGGCTAAACTTGCACCCAACGTGATTCAAACATGAAAATTCAAAGTTTTGAGGCATTTGCCCTTTTAATGCCAGTATGCCAAGCCTCATATGAGCATGGTTTGTGGGGGCCAGAGAGGCAGGGTGCAGGGGGAGCTGGGTTGGGACAAGGAGCAGCATAGTATATCTCATTAAGTCATGAGCTTCTCGCAGGTATGTAATTAAGTTTTAAAATTGACAGTTTGACACACAGAAGCAGGAAGAGAGTCCAACAAAAGTTTTTCTCCCACTCTGCCCTATTTCACGTTAATCACGCTGCATGCCTTCATCCATCTTCTTCAGTTTTTTTCTTAGCTTCCCCTTCTCCCACAACTGTACTTTCCCCTTTCTCTTTCAACATTTATTTATCCATATCTATTAAAATTGACTAATGATTATATCTTAAATACTCAACAACAATTAATGTTCAAAAAATAATAGAAAAAAATCATATACCAAATTTTATTTTCATATTGTGAAAGTATATGTAATGCCTTCTGTGCAAGAAAAATAATGTTGAAACATTAATATGGACTTTAAATTTGTAATTCAATTCAAAAGATATATGTTGACAATTTGTGATGTTTCAAATTTCACATTATAAGGAAAAGTAAAATTATAAATATATAAGTCTTAAGATCAATTATTATTTTGAAGGTCACCTAAAAGTCAGCAAAAAATCTTATTAGGCTAGTGATAGTTTGTAGCATAAACCGATTTTAGAATCAAAATTAGGAGATCTAACTGATATTGGTAACTTTTTTTTTTTTTTTTTTGTATCACCTCCAGAATTGGAGGAGCTGGGCAGATTATTGAAGGTCGGCAGATGTAATTACTTTGCTGTGGAATGTCATCTTTCTGCGGTGACATGCATAGCCCAAACAAAAGGGTAAAGACTAAAGAGCCAGAGCTTTTCCCTTCTGCTCCAGCCTGTACGTACTTATGCACCAATTGCCATTACTGCTATAACTGTTAAATCAGAACCCATTTACTACGTGAGACGTACACATTGGTACGTAGAAGATTAAGAATTGAAATTTTCATCCATGACTTAGAGAGTACAAATAATTTTATTATTTACCTGGTGGTTAAAGACTTGAACATATATATATGATCTGAAGTTTATTTATATAAAAGTTTCATATAATACATATTGGTATAAATTTTCAACAATTCATTTTTTATTTTTAATAATTTAGATTTATTCATATTTATTAAATATAATTATTTTTTAATCTACAAAATTATACTAAATTTCAACTATTGAAAATAAAAAAAAATAAATTATCAATATTTTATATAAATATAATATGTAAAAATTATGTATAAATAATTTCCTCCTTTATATATATAATTTTTTTAACAACGTTTACTATGAGATATGTAACACTGTTTCAAGCTCAAAGAGAATGGTAAACTTCAAGGATCAAAAAGGAATTAAGTGGCTTGATTATGTGAAGGTAATCCATATCCTTGGAAACATTGTGGAATCTTTTTGTTTCTGTTTTGCTTTTGCATTAATAGTGAAAGTAATGAATAAAGTGGGAGCATAAAGGCAATGGAGGCAGAACTAAAGAGCAAAGCTGAAAGCTTTTTTCCCACCCACCAAACAGAATCTCAATGCAATGCTCAGATAAAGGGCTCTTCCCCCAAAAGAGTTATAGATGCTATCAATTCAAAAGTGCATTGACTGTCTTTTCCATTCAATACACTATCAGACCACCACTTTTGCAGACATACACCATCAGATGATTCAGATCACACTACACTGCAAATTTGCAACTAATTATTACAAAGAGCTTTGGCTAGATATGGACTACATCTAACTGCTTAGCAATGCAACGTTAAGCTGGCAGCCATCGACCCAGGCAGCGGTGGTGTCTCTGACTCAATAGCTGATAATTCTGAGTAGCCTCAAACTCTGTTTCTTTGATTGAGAAACAAAACAGTTAAAAAGAGCCTTTTGCAAAAGTGAGAGTTAAGCCTCTAATAACATGTACATATGTATTGAATCGTACAAAGTACCAATAGTTCTGCATTTGATTCTAACATAATCTTGGCTTAAAGATTAATGATATGTTCATCACAACCCAATTGGAAAAAAAAATATATAAAAATAATTTAACAATCAAATACCTACTGTAGTTATAATGCGTTTTGGATAAATTTCTTTCTTTTAATTTTCCTTTCTTTGATTCCTTCTAGGGCAAGGCATTGTATTGATGCAAATCGGTGTTCCATGCCGAAGCTGAGTTCCAGTTGCTGGTGTTGTCATTGCCGTTGCTACCTCTCTTGGTAGGATTGGGAGTGGTAACTGGTGCAGCATAAGAATTTCCAAACAACCATTCTGTTGCATCAGTGCTTTCACCGCCTTTTCTTGAATTCTCAGCCTCCAGTTTCGAACCCTCCAAATTCTGAAACAAAATGGGTTGTTGTCCTTGGGGATGGGGCTTTTCTAGAGCGGGACCGTCTGGTTTACTCTCTCCGGTGCCGAACAGCACTGCCAATCTCTGCTGCTGCAACTTCCAGTGCAAATCCTGGTTTATAGAACTCAAGGACTCAATTGAAGATGCCAGACTGCTATTCACATTCATAGACCCCATCTCTTGAATCGCACCGCTGTAGGCACAGGAACTGGATAGACCATAACCAGAAGAATCGAGATTAAAACACGAAGGAGAAGAGCTCGTAGCAGTACTGTCTCCAAAGGAAGAGAACGGATTATAAATACTGGTGGTCGGAGGAGTAAGCCTGGGGAAGGATAATCCTCCGAGCTGAAAATCCACGGCCGGAGTAAGGCCGTGGAAGAACTTCAAGCTGCCAATCTCAGATGAGGATCCGGAGTCGCCTAAGAGTCTTGAGGATGATTTTTCCTTTTTGTTTTTCCGACAGCCGCCACCGATGGGTACGTTACGCAAGGCGCCGCCTTTTGTCCAGTACCTCCTACAGGTCTTGCAAAAATGCCTAGGCTGCGTGAGGCTGTAGTTGTTGTAGTAGCAGAATTTGGTGTTGGGGGAGTCGCATCTGGGACACTTTAGGGCTTGCTCCTGTGGCTTTGTGGATGATGTACTCTTCCTGTTCCCTGAGTTCTGTTTGTCCTCTTTTGAATTCACCGCTGCTTTTACTGGAAGATTATCCATGAAAGACCAAAAAAAGAAAGACTTTGTGGGTTTGTTCAATTAGTTTCAGAAGTTTCCTTGTGGAGAGGCAAATAAGATGTTCAATTGAATGGTTTCATGCATGGGGAGGGAGAAGATAGATGGCCTTGTGATATTCATCAAGGGGAAAGGGGGTTTTGGGGATGGAGGAAATTTCTGTGTGTGTGTGTGTATATATATATATATATATATATATATATATAAAAGATGGGGTTTGAGAAATAGATCTGGTGGAAAGGAAATTGAATAAATAAAGGTGAGGGAAGGGAGAGAAAAGGAGAAAGAGAGGGAAATTAAGGAGGTGATGTGTAAGAAGGAAGAGGAGGAGAAAGGGACTGAGTGAGGGAGCCAGTATATAGAGACAAAGAAAGAGCAGATGATCTAGCAGAATAGAAAGATCCACAGCTACAATGAAACAATATGGATAGGGGATGGTCTAAGATAGGTTCATCATTGGAAATGTGATCAGACATTAGTCCATGTGTAATTAATTTTTTTAATATACAAAAGCTCTTTAAAAAAATGTTAAAATAATTCTTTTTAAGTTTTGGAAATGGTTATAAAATCTAGTAAAAATGTTAAAGAGGTATAATGTTTAGACCCCTTTAGGTTCTAGTTAAACTTTTAAAATTAAACTACAAAATTAAAGTCAAAACCATTATTTATATGTACAATAAGTACAAATTATGTTTTAAAATACAATTTAAATCTCTCTATCATTATTTTTAATTTATTAGTAAAGTTAAAAAAAAAAAAAAGATCAGCAGAGATGTTTTTGATTTATAAAACAATGGATTGACTAGCTAGAGAAATAGAAGACATTACAATGGGTGATTATGTTAGGTGCATTTGAGGTGATGGTCCAAGCGATGGAGGGAATGGCTGAAAGCCATAATTATTTAGATAGAATGTAAGATTAGAAGTGAGCAGAAAGCAGAAAACAGGAGTGGTGGAATTGAGCAGTAGCAGCAGAAATATAGTACAGGAGGGTGCTGAGAAGCCTGAAGAAGGTTGCTGCTGCTTCAATCAGACTCGGTGGGCCTTTGCCTCTGCCATCCACTACTGCAGCAGCCAGCCTTGTCTACTTCTCCCATGTAACGTCCCTTTTAACCCTGTCTCACTTTTACATCGCCTCAAATTCTATCCTTCTAACCCACTAAAGCTTAACTAGAATTTCATTTTTTGATATTCGCTTAATTTGATTTTTTATTTTATTTTAAGTTGTATCAAAATTTAACACTTTTTTAGTTCTTTTTATTTTTACTAAAAAGAGATTATGGCTAATTTGGTGTGATAAATCAATAAAATTATAATTAATTTTTACTTAATCAATAATACCTCACACAATATAATGTGTGTTTTAATTTTGTATGATATAATAAATTACCACTAATTTGTTACATATAAGGTGGAGTCATGTCTATTGAAGATCTTCTTTCTAAAGCCTAATCATAGAGAATTATTGTCATTGTTCCTCCTTAGGACTGTCGGATCTAAAGGGAGCCTCCTGCCTCCCATACTTCTATCTGGGAGGGAAGGAGCCCTTCGCCTTTTGCCTTGTACGCTTTTTGAGTCAAAGATTTGGAACACAACCTGTCAAGTCCATGTCCTAGACTCCCTTAAAACTGCAAAGCTCTCTTCTATTCAAAAAGGATTTTAACAGTCAGTAATATTCATCTAAATTATTATATAAAAAATATTTTACTGTTTAAATTATATTAAATTAGTAAAACATTAATTATATATTAAATGACTAAAAACTCCTAATAATGGATTGAAACTGATAACATTGACGTACATTGAACAAATTAACAATACATCTGATATCCAGGTAGAGAGAAACACGTGAGAGGGGTGGGTGGATTCCCGTGAAGCAGAACCAAAATTTCGAAGCTTATGCAAAACTAGACGTCAAGACTCAAGACCATTGTTTTCGCCACTTATCCTGGGTTGCCTCTCACGGGTAGGGTGAGGGGCCTCCTCTCCCATGACATCAAACCTGCAGCGACTTCCATTTCCTTATCTTCCTGCTTCCTTTTCCTTCCCGAAACTTCCATAATATATTTTCCCCATTCGAGGCGAAAGTATGGTAATATGACTTATATCTATATAGTTGGTTTTATTACATAAATTAATTGTGTTTTATACAACCTAATTTTTATTAAGCTTTTTTACCTCTAATGATGAACAATATAATATGTGATAATTCTTTCAATTTTTTATATCCCTTTCATTGGTATCAATTCAATCTAAAAATTAAAAAATTATTTAGTCGGAGAAATCCTTTATCTTTAAATTTTTTTAAAATTTATTTATTAATCTATATATTTTTACACATTAATATTATAATAAAAGATGAATACAAATACTATTTTTAATTTTTATATTTCCTTATACAATTTTTTAATCTATAAATATTTTTTTATACTTTTTTTTAATTTCTCTTTAACATTTTTCATATAAGATT